AACGGAGAGTCTCCAGACTGATCTGCGAGTGAAACCTTTAAATTTTTTTCCCAAATATAGTAACACCTCACTCCTGCCATCTTCCAGCAGTGACGTCACGGTGCGGTAAGCCTAGCGCCATTCTCCCCGCTTTACAAGCAAAATCAATGGGAACTACTAGACACATCTGCAATCAACAACAAATATTGAAGATTTTGAGAGGACTTCACCATTGAAATTCACCAGAGCTATACTGAAACTGACAATGCCCACGTGCATGGCAGTTGGATGTAGTAATACATCGGGTAAAAGTGAAAGAAAAAATAAAATTTGTTGTTTCACCTTTCCGATGTATGATCCACCACGGGTTCGTCGTTGGATTGCCAACTTGAAGAGGGAGGATTTGCCATCGAACTTCTGGCCAGAGAAAAAACACATAATGTGTCACCAACATTTGGAAGAAGAATGTTTTCAAGATGGCTTGAATAATAGTGGGTTGTGACAAACACCAAATACAGCACTGGGACTTGATCAACAGCCGATACCACACCGTGACATCACAAACCAGTAGATGGCAGTAGTGCTTTTTGGCAAACATGGATGTCTCCGTAAAGCCCATTCATATGAAAATTACTCTGAATTAAAAACACTTATCATTTATTGAACACTATGTAATCATTTCCTATTTAAAGTACTTTCAAAAGCTGGAATTCTGAATGTGACCGGACTTTTCCTTTAAACTGAAATAGTCTGGCACAACTAAAAATCCTCCAAGACATGGCTGCTTGTTTAAAATGACTTCTCATACAAGATCTGTATATAACAGGAGAAGCTGCGGAGTGTGATGGTTGTTCATATGGGCAGTTGTTTAGGGTGGTATTAGAAACAGTTGTGAATAAGCACTAGACAAGAGATTAGAGTTCAGTTTTTCACTGGCAAAGTTTTCTATTTATTCTATTAATCTGTGATCATTTAAGATGTTTTCTCCCTTGTTTGCTGCTTAGAACAAGAAGACATTCAAATGCCCAAGGATTAAGATAATTTCCCTAATTTTGATTAATCTGGGGGATTGCAGAAGGGGAGGCTCATCTAGGGAGAGGACTTTCTATTACTCAAAAGTGGCAAAAATAAACCTGTCATTGATAGAAAGCTATAAGAAATCCCTTTTGAAGTTTTCCTCCAATTGTTTAAGGGACAGAAAAGATATTCATGATTGGTCTGTTTTTAGATGAGACCACAATTGAACTTTTTGAATTAAATACTATGCATGACGATGGCACTGGATACACCGCCACCATTGTTAGGCACAGTAGTGGCAGCATCATACTAGATGTGCAGGACACAATACCAAAAGAGACTTGCTTTTACAAAGTACTGACTAAATAATAATTAATGCAACTCCTTCTGAACTATCTGTAAAAATAAAGAATGAATATCAGTTTATTTCCCATCTATCTCCGATGTATATTTATTATTTTATTTTGATAAATAAAATCAGTATGAAATACATTTTTCGTCTGTAATGTAAAAAGAAGTTTAAGGGATATGAGCACGTTTGTTGGGTAACTAAATAGGTAACACCACTCACTGGGGTCCCAGATTAGCTCTCATCGGGACAAGGTAGTGTTTTAATTAAACAGAACAGACCGCCTCCTTGACTATCTGATGGATAAGGGAGGCAGAGAGGGGCGAACACAGCGAGAGTGAGATTAGGAAAATTAAAGGTGGATGAAACAGAAAATAGATCCAGCCTGGGAGGAAAAACGGAAGAGAATAAACACAGAGAGGCATACAGCAACCTCAGAAAGAAACGGCTTATATCATAATAACAAAATGAATAATTCAGAAGCGAACCGAGGGGGTTCGGTTCACTATAACGAGCGTTTTTGTGAGGTCGTAGTTTTGTAACCTAAGCAGACTTTTGAGCGTGTGCATGTGGCTGTGTGTGACTAGGAGAGATTCTGCTGATTCAGTAGGGATGGATGAAGGTGACCCTCTCCTGCTCCTGCTGCCTGTCTACCCTCCTGATATTGATCCCAGTTGTCCAACTCAGATCTCACTCAAGGATACACTTATTGCCTGCTTGACATTTCAAATACGACAGTGTGAAAGCTGCAACTCCACGCCTGCTCATTCAATAGTTGATCTGCCTGCAAAGTTTGAATAAATCACTTAAACGTGCTTCGGTTAATCAAAACAATCTCTAAATGTGCCTGCAGATGGGTCCCATTTCTGGTTAGCATGTTTTGTTGTTGTTTTCATACCAGACTGCACACAAAGAGTCAGGAACTAAGAATAGAGCAGGCTACAACTGCAGAATTCAAATGCAGTGGCTGGGAGCAAAGGTTTGGACCACAGATGGGAGAATGTGCCAGCATAGACCTGCACTGTCAAGGGTAAACTACCTTACACACACCACGCGCACACACACACACACTTCCACCTCAAAACAGCTGCATGAATATGCATGATGCCGAAGGACGCTGGAGAAACATAATTAGACAATCAACAACCCCCAGATGACATGCATTACTACGATGCGCCCCTCACTTCATCCTCCCCTCTTGTTAGCAGTAAAAAGGGGGAGTGGTGCTTATAAGTCAACATGAATTTCCACTTACAAGTGGCTCAAACATGGCCGAATTTTTAAACAGAGGCACAACACAAGCAGAATAAAAATCCAGAGTTTCAGCTTAGCTTAAGTTCACAAAAAATGCCTGGATGTCTCCTTTAAAAAGATGTGTGAGGAGGATGAGTGCTGAATGTGCTGACAATCCAACATCACATATAGATCATTCCCTAACAAATGAATTCGATATTCTTATGGCATTATCTTGAATGTGTTAAATTCAAATGACTGTCCATGAGCTTCACTTTGGAACAAACACCTTGATTTTAAAATAAAGACACACCCTAAACATACAGCGACATACACACACATATATACACACACCACACTGTCACACTAATAGTGCAGCGAGGCACTTTTGGGAATGCACACACACCTGCCATATGAATTACTAAGAATATTCTAATGTCTGAGCTATTGCTGGATAAATGGGAGCAGGTGCTTTAAACAAAGGATTCTATTTAGGTTTCGTTGAGGTAATTTGTGGAGGAGATTGGAAATTTAAAACAAATATAGGAAAGAGATAGAAAAAGTTACATCAGCTGCTAAAGAATCCTGATGCACAAACACAACGAGAGGCAGTTCTTCAATAAATATTGTCCGGTCTATTCCTAGGCTCCCCATCATACCCCCTATTCTTACATGCATATATAGTTTTAAAATCTAAATTCCTTTTACACTTTTTCAATAACAAGTTAGTAGGTATTTTATGTATTTATGAATGTGCTGCCATTTCTAATTCTTTCATAAAAGATGCATCTCAAGTGGAGCTATAAAAAACAACACAAGGATTTAATGTCATCATTATTGCTACGATGCCAAATAATGGTGCTGCATACCAATAAAATTACAGAAATTGTTGGAATAAAGCTTTTTTTTTTGTTTATCCAAACAAATTAGAGAATAATTTATCTCTTTATTTTTATTAATTTTTTTGGACGCTGCACTGTGATACATTTTGTAGCACCTTTGCATTGCTGCAAGGAGGTCCTGGGTTCAATTCCCAGCCTACTATCTTTCTGCATAAGGTCTGCATGTTCTCCTTGTGCATGCATGGGTTCTCTCCAGGCACACCAGCTTCCCCCCACAGTCCAAAAACATAACTGGTAGGTTATTTTGGATCACTAAATTGTGTGTGCATGGTAGTATTTTTCTGTGTTGCCCTGTGATTGACTGGCGACCTGTCCAGAGTGAACCCACCCTTTGCTCATAGACTGCTAAGCCCTGCTGTGACTCTAGCAGACAAGAAGATGGACTGAAAGGTCTTTTAATAGATAAAAACCTTAAAGCAGGTATGGAACATATTTTATTATGCCCACATTTTTCAATCAGAGCACCCTCTTATCGGCCTGATGTAATATCTTAATCTTCTAAGAAGCGAAATGTCACTTTCATCAGCCCAATGCCAGAACTGTCATAATTAACAGAAATAAAAAATGCTTGAAAAACAGGAGTCTGTGTAATAAACCTGTATAAAGTGTTTATCTTATTAGATTGACTGAAATAATTTAATTATTTAGTCATTTTCAGTTTATTGAGAGGTACCTGCAATGCACAAGATCAAAGAATTTTTTCTTTTTTTTTAAGCCCACTGAAATGCATGTACATGCACACCAAGTACTTATATGGTGGGTGGAATTTTTTGCATAATTTCTGCTATTTGATCATCCTAGGTTGCTTCCAAGCGTCCCTCACCTCATCTGCATTGTTAGGTCAGCTTTTTACTAATCTTCCTGATGACTTTTCGCCTCAGATTAGGCCAGTTTGATGGCCAATTAAGCAGCATAATATGTTTATTAGATTAGATATGATTCTTGATGCTTAAGTATTTATTTAACTTTCAATAAATGAACTATAAGGGTTGGTTTCTAAATCCATAATCTTTCAGCAGAGGTTCCTGTTTTATCATGCAGCAACCCAAAAAGTTGAGCTGGGAGGGAAAAAAAATGATTGATCTGTTAATGATGAAGCACTGACTGCCTCCATGAGAATCTCTTTTCAGGTTACAAAATTTTAGTTAAAGTATTTTAGATTTTTAAGTAAAATATGATCAAATACATTATAGATTGCATTTACCTTTCATCAATAACACACCCTCTACAGCACTACTGTCCTCCTTATACTAGGCTTTATGTGGAGTGAGTAGGCAAGCAAATTATTGATAATAATAATAATTTTAGGTGCTACTGATTAAAACTTTTTTGAGACAAACAAAACCAGCTGCAAAAGAAACTCTCATCCCAAACATGGTTGACTTTTTCTTTTAGACAGAAACTCACTACAGACACCATGCTGTCAGTCACACACGCCCTCACTTGCAACACATATAATTGATTCCTCCCAACAGCTTCTCAAATTTCTCACATTTATGCAGAAACATGAAAACACTGACCTGCCATGTCGCTGACACACACACATTCTCTTCAAGCAGTTCAGCCTTTCAAAGAGGATCCGTTTGAACGCGTCTATATACATTGACCCTGCTGAGGTTACAGAACAAGCCAGCACTTTAAGAAATATTAGGAGCAATCGCTTGGTTTGGAGAAGAAGCAGCTGCAGCAACGGCAGTCCTGGTAAATTGGTGGGGAGAGACGATCGCCGCAGTTAAAGCCAGAAAAAAAAGGAGAAAGTCAGACACGATGTTTGCGGCTGATGGGATGTTTGGACACTAGTGATGCTCTGAGAGCGCCGTGGTGATCTGCTGTGGAGAGGAAGAGAGCAGAGAGAGAGGGAAGCCACACACACACACACACACACACATGCATCAGACTATCAGGCAAATCTAACAGCGCCGCTTATAATTTTGCAGCAGCTGGGAGCAAAAAGCGCGCAGGATGGATGATCTGGTTCTGATCTGATCTATTTTAACTTGTGCAGAAGAACCAATTTCCTTACCTCCATATTCGCTTTACTTCAGATCATTTCTCAGGCCCAGGTAGCCTATTAAAGCAAACATTTAGGTGCAATGAAAGTAAACTAAAATAAAAATCACTTAGGATCCCTTTAAGTTTGAGGAAGAACGTGCTCCTTAAGTGGATCCCAGACGCATTGCTGCAGAAAGCAGAGCTTTTAGGGTAAAACTGCAGAAAGTTCTATCAGGTTGCTGATCCTGACTTGTTCTCTAGGTGCAAATATCCGATGATAGAACAAAGGGAAGGTTACCTTAAGGTGTTCAGGAACACGGCGGAGGGAGGAGAATTAAAGACTGAAAACACCCCCCCACCCCACCCACCCAGTCCATCTGAAACCTACCTGCATCAACAGCATCGCTCTCTGCTTCTCTTTTGCTTCCAGGACTAAGAAGCGTGAGAACAAGATGAAAACTTGGTTTTTCCCAAAACATGATGTGCACTGGGCGACAAGGAAGAGGACTAGAGCCACTGAATTTTCTTTCTTTTTTTTTTTTTAAGTTAACTGATTGTTAAATGTAATTTCTACGGAAGAGGATTAGGGCCAATGGAAGAAAAAAAAGTTCACTGTTTTAAAAAAATTATTTCAGTTTAGTATGGGAAAAAAGTCAGAATTCTTACTTTTTTTCTCAGAATTTTGACTTTAATCTTAGAATTCTGACTTTTTTTTGTCAGAATTCAGACAGAATTCTGAGATTAAAGTCAGAATTCTGAGATTAAAGTCAGAATTCTGACTTTTTTCCCATACTAAGCTGAAATAAAATTTAAAAATCAGTTAACTTTTTCTTTTTTTCCACTGTCCCTAATCCTCTTCCGTAAATTTCACTATGATACGAGAAAAAAAGTCAGAATTCTTTCTTTAATCTCAGAATTCTGACTTTTTTCAGATTTCTGACTTTATCTCAGAATTCTGACTTTTTTCTCAGAATTCTGACTTTTTTCTAAGAATTCTGACTTTAATCTCAGAATTCTAACTTTAATCTCAGAATTCTGACTTTATCTCAGAATTCTGACTTTATCTCAGAATTCTGACTTTTTTCTAAGAATTCTGACTTTATCTCAGAATTCTGACTTTAATCTCAGAATTCTGACTTTAATATCAGAATTCTTAACCTTAGAATTTTGGATCTTAATTTAGATGGGCACCATGAAGGAAGAGATGTGGGAGCACTCAGCTTCACTGACAAATATGCGAGTTGTTCGGGAGGGCCAGTAACAAATTGGTGGAAAATTACTAAATTAGGCGACTTTTTACGTGCCCAAGGGGTCCTGGTGATCCTATTTCATTAATGGAAGAACAGAAGGCAATAAAAACAAGAGATCTAGTTTAGTCTCTAAAACAGACATGGCTGCGGCTTGATGCTAACATGTTTGTCAGCTGTCAGAATTCAGTCAGAATTCTGAGATTAAAGTCTGAATTCTAAGAAGAAAGTCAGAATTCTGAGAAAAAAAGGTCAGAATTCTGAGATTCAAGTCAGAATTCTGACTTTTTTCTCCTATTATATTGAAATAAAATTTTTAAATCAATTAACTTTTTCTTTTTTTTTCAGTGGCCCTAATCCTCTTCCATAGGGCCATGTCATTTAGAGGTCATAAACGTGACTCATGGGCATAAATTTGATATTATAACTATTGCTGAGAATTTTACTTAACATGAAAACTCACAGAAGATGTGAAGGTTCATCTTAATATATAAGAATGTTGTTAAAAACTAAAAAAGGTATTTCTAAAATAGATTATAATTATGCAGAGAGGTTCTATTTAAGTCAATTATACCTTTATTTCCGTTTACTTGAACACTTATGACATATACAGAATAAGTAAAAGGTTCCTCAGAGAGTAAGATATTACAAAGGCCTACAACAAATTACAAATATTTGTGAAACAGAAATCATTACATGTCATGGCCATGAGGCAGCCTACACAAACATGCAGAGTGTTGCTGACTTGACCCATTTACAGTCACTCACTACCTCAGAGGGATACATCTAATAGCATTAAAGGAAAGTTGGGTTGAAGGAAGAAGTCAATTGTCGTCAGATACTGCATTCACTATAAATATTAAGCTTGAATTATTATACTCGGCCTGAAAATCAAATAAATTATTAGAGTATTATTTCAAAGCCCAAAGTCATCTTCTCATATAAAATTACCTTTTCTGTTTAATTTTTGAAATTGAGATCAATAAATGAAGGAGATGAATGGAGAGGCATAGAATCTAGGTTGCTTTAGGTCCAGATTCAGTTGGCAGTGATTTGTAGAATATCTGCAGCTACATATATATACGTACATATATATGTATGTATATATACAGGTGCTGGTCATAAAATTAGAATATCATGAAAAAGTAGATTGATTTCAGTAATTCCATTTAAAAAGTGAAACTTGTATATTATATTCATACATTACATACAAACTCATATATTTCAGATGTTTATTTTGTTTAATTTCGATGATTACAAATGACAACAAATGAAAATCTCAAATTCATCATATCAGAAAATTAGAATATTACTGAAGACCAATAAAAACAAAGGATTTATAGAAATGTTGGCCAACTGAAAAGTATGAACATGAAAAGTATGAGCATGTACAGCACTCAGTATTTAGTTGGGCCTCCTTTGGCCTGTATTACTGCAGCAATGCGGCGTGGCATGGAGTCGATCAGTCTGTGGCACTGCTCAGGTGTTATGATAGCCCAGGTTGCTCTAATAGTGGCTTTTAGCTCTTCTGAATTGTTGGGTCTGGTGTATTGCATCTTCTTCTTCACAATACCCCATAGATTTTCTATGGGGTTAAGGTCAGGAGAGTTTGCTGGCCAATTAAGAACAGGGATACCATGGTCCTTCAACCAGGTACTGGTAGCTTTGGCACTGTGTGCAGGTGCCAAGTCCTGTTGGAAAATGAAATCTGCATCTCCAAAAAGTTGGTCAGCTGCAGGAAGCATGAAGTGCTCTAAAACTTCCTGGTATGTGGCTGCGTTGACCCTGGACCTCAGAAAACACAATGGACCAACACCAGCAGATGACATGGCACCCCAAACCATCACTGACTGTGGAAACTTTACACTGGACTTCAAGCAACGTGGATGAAGTGCCTTTCTTCTTTTCCTCCAGACACTGGGACCTTGATTTCCAAAGGAAATGCAAAATTTACTTTCATCAGAGAACATGACTTTGGACCACTCACCAGCAGTCCAGTCCTGTTTCTCTTTAGCCCAGGCAAGACGCTTCTGACGCTGTCTGTGGTTCAAGAGTGGCTTGACACAAGGAATGCGACAGCAGAAACCCATGTCTTTCATACGTCTGTGTGTGGTGGTTCTTGAAGCACTCACTCCAGCTGCAGTCCACTCTTTGTGAATCTCCCCCACATTTTTGAAGGGGTTTTGTTTCACAATCCTCTCCAGGGTGCGGTTATCTCTCTTGCTTGTACACTTTTTTCAACCACATCTTTTCCTTCCCTTCGCCTCTCTATTAATGTGCTTGGACACTGAGCTCTGTGAACAGCCAGCCTCTTTAGCGATGACCTTTTGTGTCTTGCCCTCCTTGTGCAAGGTGTCGATGGTCGTCTTTTGGACAACTGTCAAGTCAGCAGTCTTCCCCATGATTGTGTAGCCTATAGAACTAGACTGAAAGACCATTTAAAGGCTTTTGCAGGTGGTTTGAGTTAATTAGCTGATTAGAGTGTGGCACCAGGGGCCATCAATTTTGAACCTTTTCACAATATTCTAATTTTCTGATATGATGAATTTGAGATTTTCATTTGTTGTCATTTGTAATCATCAAAATTAAACAAAATAAACATCTGAAATATATGAGTTTGTATGTAATGTATGAATATAATATACAAGTTTCACTTTTTAAATGGAATTACTGAAATCAATCTACTTTTTCATGATATTCTAATTTTATGACCAGCACCTGTATATATATATATATATATATATATATATATATATATATATATATATATATATATATATATATATATATATATATATATATATATATATATATATATATATATATATATATACAAACTTACATATGTATGGTCATAAAGAAGCTTCAATCTTTGTCATTGTTTTCTTGTATTTCTCTATTTATGTATCTAAATCTACTTTTATTAGTTTATTCCTATATTCCTACATTAATTTACTTCTAGTTTTCATAATTTTTATTCACATTTATTGATGTAATTTTATTCTTCCATATTTCTGTTTTTCTACATCTCTGTCTCCTTATGTTAATGAGATTGCTGATTCTATTATTTGTCTTCAGCAAAACTGCTTAAATGGAAGAACCACACTAAAGAAATATAATTTCGAGAATATATTTTGCTATTATTCATTATTTTTTAGTTATTCTCTAACGGTGCTGTTAAAATAATATCTTAAAAACTCCGCTACCTACAAACGAATATAGAACTATGAGGCATCATGGGATATGTAGTTTGATTAGAGAGAAAGAGCAGTTACAATTTCAGAGTATTTCCTCCAATTCCCAGAATGCACTGCTCCCGTTCGGTTTACCCCACAAACAATAATGGCGTCGAACGATGAAGATGCGACTGCTAGCAAATCTGCTTTTGCCGATAGCCAGGGGGAGAGAAAATCTGCTGCGGTGTCGTTTGGTTTCACTAGGACAGTAAATAAATTTAAACCGGTCGCCGGCGGAACTCCGACCACCAAAGTTGAAAAAGATTACTTGACCGGAATTGATAGGAATGAATTACAGAGGTAGGCTTATTGAGCTAATGCTGCTATCTAGCCGTCACGGTTACGTTTGAAATCTGACGTTATCTTGTTATCAGAGAATGCTATTTAGCTAAAAATTGAAGTTTTTTTTTTTTTTTCTATTGTCGGTTGAGGGAATATTTTCTGACATTTCTATAAATCTTATTTCCTTGCAGTACAAAACCGACCGAGAAGCCCAAGGAGCTCATTATCCCCCTGATCCAAAAGAACCGCTGGCACCCAGTGGGCCAGACCCGGCAAGGAAACGAGAAGTCGGAGGCCCCTGTCAGTGACAAGGATTCTGTGGAGTCTCAGGCTGTGAAAGAACTGATTGAAGGTTTGTATGCGAGGCGGATTTCATGGTGGACCATAACTGATGCTGTCAGCCTCCTCATGAGTCTCTAACCTTTGCTTTTAGATTCACGGAGGCAGCTGGAATTGTGGCAGAATGGGCCTCAGCCAGACAGCAACACCAACCTCTCCATCCCTCTGCTCATGCAAAACAAGGTACCAGATGGCTTTGAGGACGGAGATCACGTCAAGGTGGACCTGCGGCCTGAATCTGTAAGTAGGAAACAGTACGGGATTTGAAGTATTTCCAAGCAAATTGAATAATTATTGAAAATATCAGTTGCATATCAAAACATGTTTGTAGGTCTAGTCATTATTTCCTATCTCTTTGTGTAAATGTCATAAAGCTGTTTGTAAAATTTTTCAGCCCGTCCTTTATTCACCTGCCGACCACCTATCTACCTATTCACCGCCTATAAAATCCACCTGTTTGTTTATTTATTCATCCTCTTATCTATTTATGCATCTCTTCTTCCATAGTGTGATTTTCATAGGTTTTGGATTAAGAGCCCCGTCTCTATAGAAGTGTGTAATCCAAATTATATTAATGTTTTTAAAAACAATAGCAAAACTATCAAAATTTGACTCTGGAAAAGTGTACAGTTTAGACAAAATTTATAGAGCCCTTGTGTATTTCTAATTTTTTGTTATACTCTAACTATGCTGTTGAAAGAAATATAAAAAAAAAAAACTCCTCTACCTACAAACAAATCTATAAGTATGTGGCCAAATTATATTTTTGCCTAAAAAAATGGCCAAGCATTTTTGAAATGGAGATTAGAAAGGCACTCATAAGAAAGTCTATCCTATTAAGCGTATTTATCAATAATCAATAATCTCCTCTGTTATTCCAACCATTTTATCTAAACAGCTGTTTGAAAGCAGATTATTTTATGCATGTGTTCTCAGTTTTATAGTTCTTTGCTTAGAAATCCAAATGTCACTGTCTTACTTTTTTGGCACATACAAAACAACGGATTAGATTACTTTCAGCCGCATCATCCATCCATCCATACATTCATTCATTTATCAACTATCTATTGTCTTGTGCTCATCTAATATTTGGTTGCCTGGGTATTATTCCCTGGAGGAGAATCCAAGCTGCATGTACAACTCTCTAGTACATTCTGGGTTATCTCAAGCTCATCAAGCAGAAAAGATTTCTGTTCCCTGCTCCTCTCATTGGAACCTAACTAAAAATCTTCCTACATAGATATGAATATAAACCCGTACCACCCTGATTGATTCCTTTGGATGCAGAAGAGCAGTGCCTCTGTTCTCCTCTCTCTCAGGGCGATAGAGCTCCTCACCTCGTCTGTAAGGCTAAGTCCAGGTACTATAAGCAAGAAGCTCATTATGGCTACTTTTATTCTGGATTTTGATATTAGAGACTTTAGCTTTTTCCACTCTGCTGTTTCTTACATGCGACGGACAGTATCAGTGTGTACATTTCTGTAGACAAAGCTTCAATATAGGGATGTTTATTTCCAAAGTCTATCTATCTTAGGCTGATTATGAGTTCCTCAAACAGAATTTAAATGTGATGTGAACATCATGATAGAATCACTAAGGCAGGCCTTTTAGTCAGAGCATGAAAATTCCTGACAGTACAGAATCGCCCCTACAGTGGACTGGCAGCTGAAATTTGAGTGTGTGAAAGTGCTGAGTGGAGTAACATGGCTGTATGCATATTCAGTTGCACAGATGTCTGTCACTGCAGTAAGGCTTTTGGTGGCAGACTGGCATCGACATTTTCCCCAGAGACATGAGGGCAGCCAATCAGATCTCTTTGTTTCTTTTTGAAACAGGCCTCACATGTCTCCTCAGTATGTTCTGTTTGTGCTCGGTCACCTCACGTCTGAGCGCCTCAAACTGCCTCACGGTGGCCCTAAGCTCATTTTAACATCCTCTCCTGTGTCAGAGGGTGGGCTTCCAGCCATCCTCCGAGGGAAAACCTTCAGCGGAGACAGGGAAGAGTGGCAGGGGTTGGGTTGGGGTGGGGGGTGGGGGGCAGCTCAGATCAGCCGAAGCTGAGTGTGACAGCCTGGGGCCAAAAGGCTGAGTAAGAGCCGCATCACAAACTGCTTCTGTCTGTCAGTTACTGCTAAGACTTTTGTTGTGTTTTAGCATAATCTTCTGATTAAAGCCCACACACGCACTGTGCTGTATTCTCTGATTACTGGATTGTTTAATAAGTTTATTTTTTCAAAGTCGACAGAGGCAGACTATGAGAGCGTCCCCGTTGAGGCCTATGGACTGGCTATGCTGAAAGGGATGGGTTGGAGGAAAGAAGAAGGGATTGGACGAACATTTAAACAGTAAGTGAACTATTTATGTCAACTTAAATGTTCTTATCTCTAATACATAATGTGATGCTTTTTACTTCTTCATACCTTATATGCAGTTCCAACTAAAGGGTTGTTAAGACTGCCTAAAATCACTCCAGGTCAATCCACCACCTCTCACCAGATGATGACAATCTCAGAATTCTGACTTTTTTCTCAGAATTCTGACTGAATTCTGACAATAAAAAAAGTCAGAATTCTGAGAAAAAAGTCAGAATTTTGAGATTAAAGTCAGAATTCTGACCTTTTTCCCATACTAAACTGAAATAAAATTTAAAAATCAGTTAACTCCCCCCCCTAATCCTCTTCCTTAATCATCCATCCATCCATCCATCCATCCATCCATCCATCCATCCATCCATCCATCCATCCATCCATTCATTTTCTTACACGCTTATCCCAAGCGAGGGGTGCTGGTGCCAATCCAGCTGTCTACGGGCGAGAGGCCGGGGTACGCAATAATAATCTAAAGCTGCTGCACTAAATGTGTTCTCAAGGTGTTTGCTGTTCAATGCGCTAATTAATCTGCAAACGCATGTACGAATCGGCTGATACCAATGCAAGAAAAAAAAGTAAATATCGTCCAAAATAATCGTTGTAGGTCCACCTGTGGTATGAAGTCACAGAGCATCTCTGTTGTTCTCCAGTCTCTTGTTTACAAACTGGGCTGACCTCTGCATGCATTTACATTCATGTGAATAGCTGCAACTCCCTGCCTATAAAATGACACAGAGAGAGTAGCATAGTGTGCAAAATGTCAGAGAATGCGTCCAGTAGATGAAAACATTAATGGATCTGCCTCGTGGCTTCGTTTAAGTTTACGCCCAGTGTTTTGGCGGTTGGCTATCGCTAATGGTTACCAACGATGGAGGGAGACAATAACAGTTAAAAAGAAGAAAGAGATAAAAGTTTTAAAGTTGTAGGTTCACATTAAATTGACAGTCAGATGCAGGAATTGTCTGAAGTTCAGTCAGCAGCTTAGCTTCCAGCGTTGACCAATGCTCGGCCCCTGCCTTTGGTTCTGGCTGAACTTTGAATAGGCCATTCCTAAAATAATAGTTTCTTTTAGAGCCCTAGTTTTGTCTTTTTTTTTTTTTTTTTTTTTTTTTTTTTGTTGCTGCTGAGGTTTTGTTCAGTGATGTTTCTACAGAAAAGTCTTCCAGTTATCGCTCTCGCTCTGATCACTAATAAACCTTCATACCAATGTTGGTGCTGATTGTGCAATTTGCAAAGATTTTATTTTTTAATTTTTTTATTTAACCCTTATTTTACCAGGAAGTCCCTTGAGATAAAATCTCTTTTTTTAAAGGGAGACCTGGATGGAAGATAACAGTCAGCATTAATATACAGCATCTATGATTGAAAAAAACAAATACCAGATAAATTAGTTTGGTTATTTTAGTTTTATTGGAGATTTCTGTATGTGTATTTAAAGATGTAGCAACAAACAGTGTCCTCTTTTGATCCTGTTCTCAGAGCGCTTGGAAAGATTTGCACCACACTCGTCTCTATTTTTATTACAACTGCCTCTGGGCTCAGAGATCACAGCTATTCAGCTGTAATGCTGTCTCCTTCCACTCGTACTGATTCGTCTCTGTTTTCTTTGAATCTAATAATGATGTACTTCAGTGTGGATAATGAAAGTTTTCTTTTCTTTTACTGGTTTGGTTTTTAATTTAACTGATTTATTGTTTCTCATATTCCATAACTTTTTATAGGTTTTTTTTGTAAAGCTTTGCCTGCTGTTATTGAAGTTTGTACTTCTCAAAGCGATCAAAGTTGACAATGATCAGCATTCAGTTCTTGCAACATTTTTATTCACCGCAAAGTACTGAATTTCTTAGTTTATAAAATTAAAATCCAATATGGACAAAATCTGGTCATTTGTCTGAAACTGGTGATAAGAGAAGCTGTTTCTGTATTTATAACAAACAGTCTAACAGTGTAAATCTGCTCAGAGAACCAAAGCTGGGTCTCCCAGAAGGCTGTTTTAAATCCTGCACACGTCCATGTCTTTGTACATTGATTTAACTCTGTCGCCTACAGAGACGTGAAGCCAATCGAACACCAGCTCCGACCAAAAGGGCTGGGCCTCGGAGCCGATCGTTCAGCAGTAAAGGATCTAGAGCCAAACAAGCGTCAGCGACCCCCGAAGCCAGGCGAGGAGCAAGCTAAAGAGGAGGAACTAGCGATGGCTCCTGGAGGCTTTGTTTTGGTGGAATCTGGGGCCCATAAGGACCTTTACGGCAAAGTAAAGCTCATCATTTATTTACTGCAACCAATTCAGCTCTAGCTGATTAATTCCCATGAAGAATGTCTAAAAACTTTTTATTTTGCATGGCAGATAGAAGGCGTGGATGCAGACAACGCCCGAGTTGTAGTCAAGCTGGCCATTGGCGGGAAGGCAGTGACCATCAGCCAGCATGGGGTTAAACTGGTTGGAAAGAAAGAATACGAAAAATACAGCAAAGATCTCAGTGAGTATTTTACTTTTAGTCATGAATTTTAATTTGATATAAATGCAAATATGATGGCTGCCATATTTTGAAATCACACGAAAAAAACCTTTGGCAATCCAATTTACAAAAATTATGCATTTCAAGTGTTTATTTCAGTTATTTCACTATTAGTGATAACGGCTAACAGCTCATTAAAATCCAGAACAAATTTTAAAATATATTGAACAAAACAAATAATGTATAATGGTTTAATGCAGAAATGTTATGGCCTGAACACCAGTTTCAAAATAGACGTATACCAAAAACCAATCAAATGTATACTAAGTTATCACTCCAGTAGCGGGAGGTGGTCAGCAAAAACACCTCCTGTCTCCTATACCTTTGTATTGCAGAGGAGCTACTGCGCATGTACAGCTACTAACGAGAGTCAACGGGCAAAGATTTTTGCGACCCAGGGCGGAAAATATGTCACCAATCTGACAAAAAATGGAATGACGCTTTACTAGTCATTAAAGATTAAATATTTATCTTGTACATCTAAAAATATATTTCCAAATATTTATAATTTAAAATTACATTTTAAAGAAATTATTTACAAAACAATATTTTAACCTCTTAAAATTCACCTAATTTTGGGTAATCCTCGCCTATTTTGCATACCCAAATGGAAAAGCAAATAACTAAGCAACTGTAAGCCCAGATTACATGTGCAATACATTATTTGAAAGCTAACACCCTCTAGTTTCCTAATAAATACATTTAAAATTGGGTGACTGGAACACAGACCAACCTGCATCAGTTCAAACGTGATTCAAAGTTGTTTTTTTATTGTTGGAAATGGTAGGTCTTTTTTTGAACGGCAGTAATAAAGACATTCTTGAGAAAAAGCAGGTTTTATTGTATTATATTTGTTCCACATCATGTCAACCACAAATGCAGAAAATATCAGACCTCTAGCTTTAACAGTTCCAGAGCTGTGGGGTATGGGACTTTTGGCGTCAGCTTGGAGCTGAGCGCAATGGCTCCACCTGCTGGTAAAAATTTTACTGGCTGAAATTAAATTCTGAGTTATTACCCCCACTTAAGGTCTCTTAAAACCCACTTTGAGGTTAACGTCTTAATCAGGGTCATTGAGTGGGTGGGGTGGCGCTGAACACTAAAGAGAAGAAGAATGCTGGAATCTCAACAAAGAGGCTAAACCAGTAGCTGCTGAGAACTCTGTAGCCAGGCAGTGAAGGGAAAAACAGGAAGTGGAATAACAGCTGTTGTTGGGGAGAAAAATAATGTTCAAAAGTAGGACTGACTATATATCGGAAACGCTTTATTACATATATAACTGATTTTAGAATATAAAATAATTACAATGGCAGTATTGTATCTAATGCATCAGAAAATGTTTTTAGATGGCATTGACATGCTCTAGTCATACAGAAATGATAAGAGTTTCATTACCAAGCATCAGAATAAAATCATTTGGTTTAGATTTGGGATTTTTTTTTTGAGCAAAATAATCTCTCATAATTCATAAGATATTCTGACTTTTTATATTATTACGATTCATATTTTTTCTCTATATCAAGTATGATCTACTATTATTTAATAGTGCCCCTTGTACTCTGTGAACATTTTTTTATTCTCCTAAACATAACAGGAAAAAAGAAACTACCAAGAAACTAATGCACAACAGAGTATAACACAATCTCGTATTTGCTTTTATCTAAAGTACCTTCTTCCTAAAAATAAAATGACCACAGCGGAGCACAAACCCTGATCTATCAATGCAGATTCTAATTATACTGTTCTACCCAACCCACAGGCCGGCTTAGTAAGGCCCATAAAGACAAGGAAAAGGAGAAAGAGCGACAAAGACAGAGAGTTGAGGAGGAAGGAAAGAGTAGCAGCAGAGACAAAGGGAGGGATGAAGGCAAAGAGGAGAGGAAGAGGAAACACAGAGAATCCAGCCGAGACAGGTATGTTTTCTCTTTAAATGATCCTGTTCTGTTTGCTTTCATTGACTTTTAACTGGAATCCGTTTCCTGAAATGTTTGTTGGTGTTTTCTGCACAGAGATAAGCCACCAGTGAAAGAAGCCAAGCAAAGAACAGCGCCCCCATCCTGGCTCCGGAGAGACCTGAAAGTCCGCTTTATAGACAAGGCTTTCAAAGCAGGCAAATATTACAACTCAAAGGTACCGAAGCCTCAGCATCTTTTCACTCTACATAAATCAGTTCTTTACATTTCTCATGGCTGAGCAGGTGTTGGGTTCAAGATGAGATCTGTTTTATTAGCATGCAAATTTTGTACAATCCTACCCAAAATACGCTTTATTGTCATTATTTAGAAAGAGGATATCCAACATGAAACTGTGTGAAAGACTGAATTAAGATTAAAGTGCTTTGGGATCATTGGAAGTGATAAAGTTTAAAGTTCAAAGTGCATTCACTCCGTCTATTTTTGGTCTGTATTTATTCATTTCCCCTCTTCTGTTGTTGTTTTTTTTTTTTGGAAAATAAAACAAAATCAAATGGAAGCAATCGAAAATAAAATGGGTGGCAGGTTAAGTTATTTATTGGTGTGAAAACACAGTTATTTTAGGGCAGAGGTCACAGATAAGCGTACCACGGTCATGATCCGGACCCAACCTGATTTTAAAAATGTAAAAATTACCGCATGTTGTCCGACGACAGTGTCTAAATTCACTTGCGCTGCTTCTCCTGTTAATATGGTAAAGCCCTCCAGAGCGTCTGGGACCAGGCTATACATGATCCAAATGAGCCAATGAGCTGTCAGTCTGGGTTGCTGCTACTAGCTACTTTTAGACACAGCAGGCAAACCTGTGGCAAGCCGGGCGATGGGAAAGAAGGAGAAGACGATGAGAAAAAGAGAGCAGAGAAAGTGTGAACTGCTGGAAGAACTGCGGTGAACTGGTGAAAGAAAAGTGAAATAGTGTGCTGAAAGATGGCCCTGCACATTTAGAGGATGTTTGGCTCAACCTGCTGCTGTGAAGCAGGATTCTCCACCATGAACAGAATCAAGAATAAATCTGGATCCAGGCTCAAAATGAGCACCTTGATATGTGCTTGAGAATGGCTTAGTCTCCATTCAAACCCAGGTTTATTAAAGTTGCAGGGCAGGGTCCACTGCTCTCATTAAGACAGAAAAAAGGAAGAAAAAAATAACAGTCAGTTCAGGTGTTTTATAAAATATGTGAATCAGGACATTTTTTATACACCAAACTGCAAAATTGTTCTTCTCTACTTCAAAAAACACTTTAGATTTTAAAATGGAAAAATTTTAACTTTTTTTATTTAAAAAGTCAATGTATAACCTGGATGCATAAACACCTCATTTTATTTCTGTGTTAAATTCTGTTTAAAGTAACGTTTTATAATTAAAAATGTCTCCAGATCTTTACTGGTTGATGATTTTCTTTATTCAGACCCAGCTGGTTTTTAATTGGTTACCTCTGGGCATCATGGTGTTCACAGCATAAAGGAGTAAAAACAAAAAAACAACTTTTTAATATATGGTGTTGGAATTGAAGCAATAACTTGCAATAAATAGTGCAAGTGAGAATCGATTGGAGAGTGAGAACTTTAGGTTGGAAGCCATCTTTGGGTCATGAGGATCAAGGGAAGCTCGGGGCTACGCCACGCAGCAGGGGGAAAACGCTGTACTCTTCAACTCTCTCTTATTTCATTAACATTTTAAACTGTTGAAATTGTATTATTTAAAATGTTCAATCTTTAGAAACTGTCTTTAAAGTTTTACGCCTAAAGATGATCATTTTAAATGGTGTCAATGCATTCAGAATTTCCATGACGGTGTCTCTCTGCTGCAGATGCGAGTGGAGGATGTCCTGACGCCGCTTACCTGCCAGTGTCGGACGGAAGAGGGGGGACTGTTAGACGGTGAGTCATGCATGCAGGCCGTCCTTCACTTTGCCGTACTCTGAAGTTCCCGGTGGGCAAAATGTGTGTTTATCTGTTTATGCACCATGGGAGTCGTTCACTATTACTCAGCCATTTAGTTTGTACTTCAGTTTAAAATGAACTGAGCAGGGTTATCATGCGGTCTCTGTATGACCTCAGCTTGGACCCTTGTAACCGATTAACAGAGAATAAGGAACATGAAGTCCTACAGTGAATTAGGTTACCATGGGTAATATAACAAATAGGGCATTTGTAAACACAAAGCTTTAAAAACACATTTGTTATCCTGTTAGATCTAATATCCAATATTAACGATTTAAAGATGTTGAACATCTAAATTAATCTGTTAAATTAATTAATTTTTCCTAATTGTGAGCTTCAGGTTTAGCGTATGAAAAGGAAATTGGTCTGTTTTTCTGAATTACAATATAACTTTCACAAAATTAAATGAAAAACTGCTTTGATTTTCTTAATATAAAATAAAGAAATAAAAAACATCAGCTTTTTCTAAATTAACGAGAATTTGCTGATGAAGACTCTGTCATCCAGGTCAGAGGTCCCCAACCTTTTTTGCACCACGGACCGCTATATGTCAAACAATATTTTCACGGACCGGCCGGCGAGGGAGTGGGGGATCGTTAATACGATCAAGTAAAATGATACGACTGGCATAAAATCAAATACAAACAGCATAAAAATAAAACAAGTCGGTCCCATCTAGGCGTAATCGGAGAAAATGACAGACGAAGTGCGCTCCTGATGTCCAGTCTGCTCCGTAGTTTTGTTTTGGTCGATGTAACCGCAGAAAATCCCGCTTCACAAAGATAGGATGTTATAGATAGGATGACTCTTTGAACTGAATTAACCTGTGTCAAGAGGCACAGATGCCCCGACTGATGTAATTGGGAGAGAATACCGCAATATTTTATAATTTTCAAAAGAAAACATCACTCAGACTCTGATCGTCGATAAAATATATATACACTTTTTTCTGTGTGGCCAGGTACCAAATGACCCACGGACCGGTAACGGTCTGCGGCCCGGTGGTTGGGGACCGCTGATCCAGGTCATACTCATTTCGTACAAGATAAAAAAAATATCCACTGGACTTGGTTTCCAAGGTTTGAAGACGTTTCGCCACCTCTCAATTCAATTTGAATTGAGAAGGCTTCCTGGAGAGATGGCGAAACGTCTTCAAATCTTGGAAACCAAGTCCAGTGAATATTTTTTTTAATTTTTACGGAATAACGAGAATTTCTTTTACTCAAAAACAAATGAGAAAGCCCCGTTTTCCTGGATTAACCAGACAAACTGAGAAGAGGAAGGAAGGAAACAACCGCGCCGTTAGTAGTAGCCAAACAAAAATGGCTACCGTTTTCCCTCCACTGAAATGTATGCCGATCATATTGACACTGGTTTTACAATAACTTGAATCTGGTGTTTAAGATAAAACTATTTCCTTCTCCACATTTTGAAATTGTTATTTTGACAGCTGCATACTGAGGAGTATTTTGTGGTTCGAAAGAAAAAAATAGATTTTTTGAAAAGGTTATAACTCTGAGAAGAAATAATCAGTAGCTTCCAGCATTTATGCAAAAGTCTGCAAATAATGACTGGGGACCTGGTAATCGATTCACTCCTGACTGCTGCTATGGTAACAGCCGCTCCAAAATCATGTTAGTGATTAACCCATCTCTGGTCTCTCTGTGGCAGATGTGAAGCAGGACATGTTGGAAACCATCATCCCTAAAGGAGAATATGACACCGTAATGGTTGTACTGGGTGAGCACAGAGGACAGGTGAGCCGTCAGCCAGTCAGACACAATCAGCTCATACTGGTTTAGCTGTGATCAACTGTGGCTAATCATCAGCTCTTCATTTGTCGCCTCAGGTGGGTCGCATTCTTCAGCGGGATAAGAACAAGTGCAAAGCGATGGTGCAGCTCGACAGATATGAGGAGAAATTGTTCAGTCTGGATTATGACTCCATTTGTCAGTATGTGGGAGCCTCAGACCACTGAACTCAAGCTTCACTTTGGAATCCCGATCTCGTTATTTTGTAATATTCAAAGATGAGTTTAAAGCAATGTAACCTTTTATAATAAAAGTATCAAAAATTAAATTTGTATTGCTGTTTATTGCTGTTAAGAAAATACATCGACAGGCAAATCTCAGCAATGAAATGTATTATTATGGTCAGAGATATTCTAGTTGTAACTAAAGCATCACTCAGATATAAAACATATTTACACCATTTTTAACATGAGCAGTCACAATGGGATCTGACATGCACACATCTAAAAATACAAAGAAAGGATGAAGATAGGATGAAAGGAGCGTTTGAAGCGGTGGTTGTGGGATCTCTGCTCACTCCTTGGGTGGATGGTTTGCAGCGTTAGCTCGCAGCACGGCTCCAGGACTGGGGTACGGCCGCTGCTGGAACAGAGGCCCTGCTGCTGTGGTGTCTGCGCCTGTCTTTGCTTCGTTTCGTTTAAGGAGGCCACTCGACCAAGAACCCCTGTTAGGAGGAAAACATCAATTTTAGCAGCTTGATTTCATGCAAAGTCAAAGTACACTTCTGCTCAGAAATATTCAGCTTGTAAAGAAAGCTGTTGAGAGGTTTCTGTTGATGCGTTCTCTAAGAAAACCACAAGCGTTTGATTTAATTATCAGTGATCTTAAATATAGGGGAGACTTCAAGTCAGACTACTTTGTAATCAGGGAAAAACCCAGATTTTCTTCTCTGGCTGTCCCGATATAGCCTCGTGAGACCATCCTGATCTCGCGAGCTTTAAAGATTTCACTCGCTAATCAGTCTGGAGACTCTCCATTGAAAGAAATTTGGAGCCGTTCACCAAACGAACGTCCAATCAGCGTTGGCTTTGAGGCGAGTTGAGGTGTGACGCAACGAGAAGTGCAACAGTTCAGTCTAAAGAACATGGCGGCTTCAGCCGATGAAACTAGCGTTAGCGTGGCTAACGAGCAAGTTTTATGGGAATTACAGAGTATTTCTTCACTGAAAGAAGAGCAAAACACTGCTCTGGAGGCTTTTCTCAGAGGAAAAGATGTTTTTGCTCTTCTCCCGACTGGTTTCGGCAAGAGTTTGATCTATGAATTGGCTCCTCTTCGTCGTCGCTCTGTTACGTCATATGCTTCGTTGATCTGATTGGTTTATTTGGCCCGTCTATCACCAACATAGGCCAATCAGCTAACCAGTATTTTCGCCACTTCCCGAAATTACTTCTACGGAAGGTTCCCAGATGGATATGCGGCGCAAATCCATCTGGCGGAGTCAGGTTAGCCCCGATAGATTGTTCATCCCAAACAGAACGACACAGCTTCAACACCAACAAACCAGAATGTCATCAAAAAAACACTACAATTATTCAGCTCAATAGAAACACATTCATCAAATACAGATACCTTAATTCTTTTGTTCTGGTGTTAAATGTTGACAGTAGATGAATAAATTTAAGCTTCCTAAAATGTTGATTTATCACAAGGATTTGTGAATGACCGACACAACAGTGAGGGAGACTAATGACTTGGTAAAGTCCTAACAGACCCCAAGACCTTCCATAAATGATTGCTGATTAAATATTTATATTTCCTAGCTTTAATAAGAAGCTTTAGTAGAAGGAAAAGGTACACAAGCAGCTTTGAGAGGCTATTGCAGGGGTCGGCAAACCGCGGCTCCCTGGAGCTTTTTCAAAAATTTATGAAAATTTTTTTTTTAATACGGTGTGCAGGAGGTCAAACAGAAATTGTTTTCCAATGCTATAAACATTTGTACGATAAGTATATTTGAACAATATTTGTGTCATAGCCATAGAGATCAGTGATCAGAACCTGCAACCAGCGCGGCGCGGCGCCAGGCAAACAAAGCTGCAGGTGTGTTTCGGACCATGGATCCCAAAGGGAAAAAAAGGATTCAAAGAATGGAGCGAATCATCTGCTTTCATTATCAATGCAGAAGGATTGCCTGCATTTTTGTTTTGTAATGAGAGGTTGTCGAAAAATAAAAAGAATTATTTGGAAAGGCAAATATGCAGCCAACCAACAAACTGGGAGTGAGAGGAAAAAGTGTGATTGCAGAACTTCTGAATAAATTAGGAGTGCAAAGATAGATTTAAGAAGTGGATTGCATCTCCAAACTCCACTACTGCTGCTAGTTTGGTTGCAAGGATGGAAAATCATCCACAGATCATCCAAGGTAGCACTCCGATGCAGGGATGTGAACTTACTTCCTTTTTTCCCCAAATCCTAAAAACAGAAATCACACCAACGAACGCTGGTGACGGAGGATGTGGGATTTCAGGGTTAGAGAGCTCTGCTCTGATGGATGTCAGTTCCTGCTTGGTTCCTCATGACTCAATCAACTCCTCCCAACAGAAACACGTCCACCATAGAAAGATTTTTTTATCGTGTTTCTATCATTTCATCAATGATACAAAACCTAAACTGCGCGGTGAGAGCGTTCACTGCCCCTCCCTCACTTTATGCTTCTATGTGACATTTGCTCCAGGATAAACATTTAATCATGAATAATTATTATATATTTAAGCCCACATAGTCATTTTTTATAGTGGAATAATACACTTAGAGCCCATGTTGCCATACCAGGCATATATAAGACTTTTATATTTTTTCAGCTCCAGACAGATTTATTTTTTTTGGTCCAATATGGCTCTTTGAGCAGTTTGGATTGCCGACCCCTGGGCTATTCCGAAGTTTAGGGGCTATTAAAAACCCACGAACACAAACAAACCCAGAAACTGCTGCATCACTCTCAGTAAGCAAATTCTGAAGTGAAGGAAATAGAGGCGTTTTTTTTTTTTTTTTTGTCACACACACACAACACATTCCCTGACTTTAAGTGAGCATTGGATTGTACACAGAACATCAATCCAAAGCTTTACTTCTTGGCACAGATCCTTCTTCACCATAAGGGGCCAGAGAGACTTCTGTAACATATAGACACTCTTAATGTCTACCCAACAAGTTAATTTTGTTTTAAAATTCTTGGCACCTGTTGATTTTTTTTCAAAGAGCTAGACTATATTTCTTCCCAAAACCTTCCTGTAGGATTTCCAAAGATCTTTTTGAACCATGGGAGCAGTCATATTCATCGCTTGTATTGAGGAATCCAATTGATGGGAAATAAGCTATTACTTTGAGGCCGTTAAAAACCCATATTTGTACTCAATAACTTTGAGGAACAAGACAAAAAGTCAAATTAGACTGTGGTTTCTGGCTAATAAAACAAAAAATGGAATGAAAGGTCAATGTCAATATTGCAGAGTGATTGTGATCAAGTTTGAGACAGAAACAAGAAAATGTGTAACATGCCGTTTGTGAGTGTGAGATGAACAAAAGTGCAAACTAAATCTGTTTTACCAATCTTTTTTTCTAGATTATCAATCTGAAGCTCTTGTTAGAAAAATATAAGCTGTGTTAACTCATCAGTTGTTGGGATCGATGTTTTTAGGATCGTGCAACCAGAGGAGCGTAACTGCAGCGCCTGACTCAGAAAACTGCAGCCACCGCGCTCCCACGGGGTTTACCTTTCACGTGACCCGATGTCTGCTCTGCAGCGCCAGCAGCAATCAAGCAAAGTATCAAACCAGCATGCATCATGTTTCACTGCAGCTGCAACCATCTGCATTAAAGTCAGTGCAGCAAAAAACTGACTTGCTGATTTTTTTATTTCTTTTATTTTTTACACAGCAATAAATAAGCTGCACTTTTTAATCAACTTTTTATTTGTAAATATCCAATCTGGACAAATTCAATCAGAAGTAAATATTAAATTGATTATTTGAAATCACAAAGTGTGATACTTCAATCTAGTCTTGTTATAAACACTAAGCAGGAAGAAAATGGTTTGAGTATTTTAGTTGTTTCCTTGTCCTTAAAGGTCAACTATTTAAATGCCCAATATCTGAGTAATTCAGTCACAACTTCTCACTCCTAATGAACAATCAAAGCAAAAGGCGGGCAAGTGCAATGATCGCAAAAAAAATTTATTTATCATTGAAATTACTTTAAAATCACAGACATTCGCTGAAAACGACCCACAAGCGTTGCCGGCGCCATTTTTGTTGTTTTGTACACATTCTCGCGTGATTTGAAAAAGCTGCGTGATTTTCCGCTAGATGGTGGGATTTTTGTCTGGGAATTGGCGCGAATCAGAAATTTTTTTCGACTTGGCAGGCTAAAAAACAACAAGGCAAAAATAATGTAAGTACAGTAACACACCCACTATACTATAATACACGCTAGATTAAAAAATAATCAATCAGGGATTAGGAAAATAATAATAATAACTGTATGCGCACAGTGTAAATATTTCTATTATATGGCAAAATCTGTACAGTGGTCATACATTAAAAAAATGTTCATTAATTTTTTTCTCTTAGACATTGGAGTGGTGAATTTAAATGTTATAGAGCTAAACATGTTAAATTGGTGAGTAGTAGTAGTGTAAGTTTTTAACCTGTCAAGTTTTTTTTTAGATTTTTAACATTACAATTTATATTTTTCCAAGCACACAACAGTTTAAAGCAAAGTTTAGTTTGAAAAGAATGTGCAGGAAGGATTAAAAAGCATGTTAACACGGTAATGTAGGCTTGAGTTCATTATCTGACGCATGCAGATACACACCAGGAACCTGGAAACTTACTGAATTACAAAAAAGTACGTACGTACATACATACATACACACACATATATATATATACACATATATATATATATATATATATATATATATATATATATATATATATATATATATATATATATATATATACACTCTTACTGTACCTTGGAGCATCAGAATAAGCACTGGGATCCATGGGGTCCATCTCATCATCTTTTCTCCCTGAAAAACAAATAAAGAACTTAAAATCTATTTCTATACAAGAGTTCTATGTATTGACCAGAATCTTTGGATTTATTACCTCTTTTGCTTTTTCCGTACGGTGCAATGTCGTCTCTCCTCTGTTTCCTTCGGTCCCTGTCCCTCCCTTCATCCCGGTCTCTGTCTCTCTCTCTGTCCCGTTCTCGCTCCCTTTCCCTGTCCCGGTCTCTCTCCCGATCTCGTTCTCTTTCCCGGTCTCTTTCTCGTTCCTTTTCTGACTTCTCAAATGGTCTATCAGCTCTCTCATCCGTGACATCAGCTAAAAAAAAAAAAAAGGACAAAAGAATGATTAATTTAACATTAGTCAAACAAAAAGCAGCTCTTTGAAACTAATTATACAAAATGGTCTCCAGAGATCTAAGTCAAACGTTTTCATTTACTCCTCAGCATCAATCACATTGATTATTTAAATCATTTTGTCTTTATGATGGATCGGTGATTCTATTGTTCATTTTCTCCAGCAAGCACAGGGTCATAATAACACATACATGCTTACAGATACACACAGACTAATGGCTAAAGTGAGCAAATGGCAGAGAAACACGGCTTTCTGTAGCAATCGACAAGCCTCTGGAATCATTTGGAATGGATGATTATTAAATTGTCTTTCTGGCAGAATCAGGAGGCCTCTTTTTTGGTAATTTAATTAGAATTTATCTAGTTTTTAATGGAGTAGATTTGTAGAAGGTTATTTAGAGGCATGACGCCTGCTTGCTTTATCTTAGAAGCTGTTGCAGCAGTGAGGTGTGGCCAGTTGATTTCATAGGGAATAAACCGGGAAGTTACAGGTCTAGCACCCCTGGTGGTTACACCTAAAAAAGTGTTGCTTTAATAAAAAGCAATCAGGGTGCTATTTAAAGATAATTCTAATCTAATCCAATAATATGTCACACTCAAGCATCATCCTGGAGTCAGACAGAAAATTGGTTTGGATGCTTTAAAACAACCCAGGGAGCATCGAGACTCAGTCCAATTATTCACCGTAAGCTGCAGGATCATCAGTGTCTCTATTTACAGGGTAGAGGGTTTTAAATGAACAGAGAAAAACCACAGTGCTGGAAAAATATCAAGCCCTTTTAAGCTTCACTGAAACATTAAATGTGGCGACATGAACAGGCCAAGCGCCTTCTGGAGACTGGATGGGCTGGACAGAATAACAGGAAATAGGTTTAGAGGATTAAAGAAGACTTTCAAATTCAAAAACTAGTTAAGCTGACTTGCAAGCACAGTGGTGGCAGCATCATGCTGTGGGGGTGACAATAGTTATTTTTTTAACTGGGTAGATGGATGAAATAGGAGGAGTATCTCCAAACTCTAGTTCAACTTATACCACAGATTTTTAATTCAAGTGCTTAAGGTCAGATGTTTTGCATCTCTTAGACGTGTCTCTGCTTCAACACAGCCCTGTCAAATTAAAGGCTTGGAATCCTGTGGTTCTGAGTTCGAAACCCATTCCTGCAGACTGCCACTCTGGCTCCCTGAGCAAGACCCTTAACCACCGACTGCTTCTTGGGCGCCCCATAATGGCAGCCCACTGCACGCCATAGGGATGGGTTAAGTGTAGAGGTAAATTTCTCCAATGTGAGATCAATAAAGTTCAATTATTATTATTATTATTGAATAATCGGGTCATTAGTAGGACTCAGGAAAACTCAACTGCAAAGAGGAATTTATTCAGCCATTAGATCCAGGGATCAGAGACACCTAAAAGGTTCAGGAGACCAGATCGCAAGAACTGGAAATGAAAATAACTATAAGATGTTTGAATGTTGGACATAACTTACAGTTCCAAAAGGACATTGATCCCAAACAAACATTTTGAGGAAGACTGGACCAGAATACAATCCTACTGAGGAGGCCTGGTCTTTGTAAGAAAACTCAGATCAGAAGTTAAAATATCCATTTAGTTCAGAAAAGAAAATCAATTCCCAAAAATGATACGTACATTTCTGACCAAAGCTGGAAAGATAAATAACTAAAATCTTTTCTTCCTTTGGTACCTTCTTCTTCTTTTTCACTATTTGAGTCGATGTAACGAGTACATTTCTCCAACTGTGAGATCATTAAAGTCAGTCGTTTATTAATAGATAATTTGAGAGTTTGGGCCTCTGCATAAAAACGCACCTTTTACTTTCTTGGCAGGTTTCGTTATGACTGCTGTAGGGTCATTTGGGGATAGCCAGGCAACCAGATCTGTCTCTGCATTCCAGTAGTAGGGGAGACCGCTGTGGAATAAAACAAGCAAAATTTTATCCATTAAAATTTGAGACAATAAGAAATGATCATTCAGGTGATTTTGATAATTGAAGTGATGGTTAAATAGTCCTGAAAAACAATGTCGGAGGTATGACTAATTTGGGGTTATTTCTGAGTACATACCAGGCCGGGTCAAACACTTTGTACCAGTTTGGAGGCAGGTTCTCTACTCTGGTAGCTTCATAGTCCACGTTGTTGTCATCGTAATCTTCAGCAATAATCTCCTCATCTGCCTCTGCTGTAATCAAGAAGAAAATAGTTATTTTCTTTTTATTTAGGTTGACTAGCCTAAAATATACAAAATAATTGATTACCTTGATCTGATGGTTTTACAATCCCTCTCTTGGCCAAGCGGGCCAGCAGTGCCGGCGGAAGAGGCATTCTTAAAACCAGGAGAGAGCATTTATCACTTCACTGAGTCAAACAGCATATGTTGTTGAATAAACTAATACAGTATCAGTTGTTATTAACTTAAACCTCCCTATTTATTTTGTCATAACAACAACAAAAAAAGGGCTGCATTCATTTTAACTAATGGGCCAGTCAGAGGAGCAGTCAGTATTTTCTAAAAGAACTGCAGGAGTTTCCAGAGTTCAGATTACCGGTAGGGGTGAAAAATTTTGCCAAAAATCTAAATCATGATTATTTTAACCAAAATTGCAAAATCTTATTTACATTTTCCTTTGCACTAGGCTCTCGGATTTTCAAAGATTGCATACCCAGAGTGTATTGTTATAGGACTTTACTGTAACCATTGTGTGAAAAAGTGTTGATTTCTACTTGCATTCATAGATCTGCATGCTAGTTGCTACAACCTCTACCTTTCTGTGTTGTGACAAACTCTGAAGCGTTTAACTACCACCTAAACGGCTGGAGAGACATTTAGTGTCTTACTTTTGTTAAATATAGTGTGATTAAAGACCAGTGCCTCTGAAATTTGAAAATTGTGTTTGGTTAAATTGTGATTATATTGCAAATGCAATTAATTGCCAAGCCCTAGTTCAGATCAGACAATATATCAATAAAACATCCATTCATCTTCCACCACACTAATAGTAACCATGGCAACATAGCCAAGAGATGGTTATTGTTGAAAGGCCCTTACAATTCAATTCAATTAAAAAATACTTTATAAATCTCCAATGGAAATAAAAGGTTGCAGTGTTTGTCACCAGCCACGAGCAGAAAACCAGAATATGCTCTGGTCAGATGAGGCCAACATTAAAGACTTTATACAGCAGAAAAAAACAAATGTGTAACTAAACCCCTGCATTTTACCCTGAACACACAATATCCACTGTAAAGGGGTGGTGGCAGTGTCATGCTTTAGGAATTAACAGAGAGGCTGTGATTGGACAACAGATCAAACTAGGAGCAGTCCTGAAAAGAAAACCTCACCTCAGCAGCTGTGTGTTAACTTTTGTTGGTCCTTTGCATGAAATAATACAATCAAAAATAAGTTTCTGTTCAACGACACAATGAAATGTGAATGCAAAATGACAATAAACTTGGTCTAAGTCTAAATATGTAAAAGTAAAAAAAAAGGACCGTTGAACTGTCAGTGAACTTGCCGAAGCAAGTTGGTAATTTTATGAATTAAAAATTATAAATCAAAGATTCTGGAGAACATTGATAGAAATATATATACTTCAAACCTCAATAACAAAGTATGGTCTCTAGAGTTAGGTTTTCAGCAGAAACACAAAAATACAAGTACAGTTTAAAAAGCATACACTATATTGCCAAAAGTATTTGCTCACCTGCCTTGACTCACATATGAGCTTAAGTGACATCCCGTTCCTAATCCATAGGGTTCAATATGACGTCGGTCCACCCTTTGCAGCTAGAACAGCTTCAACTCTTCTGGGAAGGCTGTCCACAAGGTTTAGGAGTGTGTTTATGGGAATTTTGGACCATTCTTCCAGAAGCGCATTTGTGAGGTCGCACACTGATGTTGGACGAGAAGGCCTGGCTCTCAGTCTCCGCTCTAATTCATCCCAAAGGTGTTCTATCGGGTTGAGGTCAGGACTCTGTGCAGGCCAGTCAAGTTCATCCACACCAGACTCTGTCATCCATGTCTTTATGGACCTTGCTTTGTGCACTGGTGCACAGTCATGTTGGAAGAGGAAGGGGCCAGCTCCAAACTGTTCCCACAAAGTTGGGAGCATGGAATTGTCCAAAATGTCTTGGTATGCTGAAGCATTCAGAGTTCCTTTCACTGGAACTAAGGGGCCAAGCCCAGCTCCTGAAAAACAACCCCACACCATAATCCCCCCTCCACCAAACTTTACACTTGGCACAATGCAGTCAGACAAGTACCGTTCTCCTGGCAACCGCCAAACCCAGACCCGTCCATCAGATTGCCAGATGGAGAAGCGCGATTCGTCACTCCAGAGAACGCGTCTCCACTGCTCTAGAGTCCAGTGGCGGCGTGCTTTACACCACCGCATCCGACGCTTTGCATTGCACTTGGTGATGTATGGCTTGGATGCAGCTGCTCGACCATGGAAACCCATTCCATGAAGCTCTCTGCGCACTGTTCCTGAGCTAATCTGAAGGCCACATGAAGTTTGGAGGTCTGTAGTGATTGACTCTGCAGAAAGTTGGCGACCTCTTCGCACTATGCGCTTCAGCATCCGCTGACCCCGCTCCGTCAGTTTACGTGGCCTACCACTTCGTGGCTGAGTTGCTGTCGTTCCCAAACACTTCCATTTTCTTATAATACAGCTGACAGTTGACTGTGGAATATTTAGGAGCGAGGAAATTTCACGACTGGATTTGTTGCACAGGTGGCATCCTATCACAGTTCCACGCTGGAATTCACTGAGCTCCTGAGAGCGACCCATTCTTTCACAAATGTTTGTAAAAACAGTCTGCATGCCTAGGTGCTTGAATTTATACACCTGTGGCCATGGAAGTGATTGGAACACCTGATTCCAATAATTTGGATGGGTGAGCAAATACTTTTGGCAATATAGTGTATCTCAGGTTTTCCATTGAGAAAACATAAACTGATAAGGTAACGGTGTAACTAAAAAGCAATAAGAAACAGGACTGTTTGCAGATTAAATTTGCTAATTTAAAAAAAGGATCAGAGCTAGCTCATTCCTGTTAAAAGGGAATTTTCCTCTCCACTGTCGCTACAGGCATGCTTAGTGTGAGGGATTGCTGAAGAGTCAATGAGTCGATGCAATCAACTGGTTTTCCTTAAATAGAAAACTTTGAATCAATCTGACTGGATGATCTGGTGAACTGTATAGTGCCTTTAGATGACATGTGTTGTGAATTGGCGCTGTAGAAATAAACTGAATTGACCAATAATCAACCTTGCTGGGACTTCAACTCACAGCCATTCGGTTTATACACCATTAATACAGAATTAATTAATAACTAGATTAATTGCAAACATCAGTTAGCCAAATCACTAGCGAGAGGAATAACACTGTATGGCCTGCAGTGATAACTGTGTAGCAACAGCTAAAAACACCAAAGCAACAACCACGCTGTCTTTACCCATAAAATAAGGGTTTACACGAGAAAAAACAAAATAACCAGCATTTAAAAATATAATAATTCATAATAATGAATGTTTTACCTGTATGAAAGGAAATTGTTGTATACTCGACGGGAGTAAAGAAGATAATACCGCCTCCAAAGATAAAATAAAAAAGGAAAGCCCCCGGCGCACATTAATGACGTCACTGTGTCCGCTTGACGTCAACAAACATGGAGGAGTATGCCCGCGAGCCTTGGTAAGATTAATTATTAGTAGGCTAAATATTACTCTTAGCTGTTTAAAAAAACTAGATAGCAGAGCTTTTTGCAGCATATTTATTCTGTTAGCTGGAATGAACCGATAGAGTTCGTGTTTCTAGAGCGGCTGGTATTATTGTAGACTTTCTGATAAACAGCTGGTGTCCATCGGTAACAACTCAGATCATAGTGTAAAATGTTTAACAACATCCCGTTGATCTTAAATTAGAGTCGAAGAGGGCTTCGTGTCAATATGTCTCCACTGTATGGTGTTCAAATGTAATATTTTTGTGATTCAGATACATAAATAGGAAAAAAACAAAACAAAAACAAATACACATTTATTTATTTTTTGGAGCCAGGTTATCGAATGTATTAAAAAAAAGGAGGAAACAGGCACTGGCTCCAGAGGGATGTTTGTAGTTTATTGCTTTGGAGAAGCAAAAAATAAATCAGCAATGACTTTGAAGAAAGGAACTGTTTTCTATCTATTAATTTGGGCAAAGATTAATATGGTTTATTTTTTAGCATTTAAGTTGATTCACCTCAAGTTCAGAGCTCACAAAATTTATAGAAACTAGAAATAAAATTACATGTAAAGAGACTAATGAGATAGACAGATAATTAATCATGAGTCGTTGCTTCTGAAAGTTATTAAATCTTTAATTCTGATGGATGGTTTAAAGGAAATTAAATTTTTTTTTTCTTTGACTGTTAATAGTTTCCCAAACTAGAAATTGCCTATTCTCCATTAAAACCATTAAAATGTTTTAAAATGGGGTTAATCTTCATGATAACTATGTAACATTTATAGAAAATATTTTATTAGACTGATTCAGGACTGGGCTGCAGTGGGTAGCTCTGGTTCCGGGTTTAATTTACCAGCCCGGGTTCTTTCTGCTTTGTTTTTGCATGTTCTCTCTGAACATGCGTGGGTTCTCTCCGGGTACTCCGGCTTCCTCCCACAGTCCAAACTCATGACTGTTAGGTTAAATTGGCCTCTCTAAATTCTCCTTAGGTGTGATTGTGTGTGTGAATTGTCCTGTTTGTCTCTGTGTTGCCCTGCGATGGACTGGCGTCCTGTTCAGGATGTACCCCGCCTCTCGCCCATATAGGCACCAGCATCCCTCATGACCCCAGCTGGGATAACGCTGTCAGAAAATGGATGGATGATTCAGGACTGAACATTGATGGGATGTAATAAAAAAGCATGAATGGATCCTTGGAAATAAATGTGCCTTTATTGCACATTCATCCAAAATATGTACTGTACATAAGTATATATATATATATTAAATCCTTAGATCTTTCCAGTTGTTGATTTAAAGGCATTTGTAGTTTTTACAACTTCTCAGATTTTCCATTATAAGCAGTGTCTTGATATGCATCCTCATCTTCTGCTTTCTCTCTGCAGCCCTTGGAGGATAGTGGATGACTGTGGAGGAGCTTTCACCATGGGGGCCATCGGAGGAGGGGTTTTCCAGGCAGTGAAAGGTTTTCGAAACGCCCCGGCTGTAAGTTGGAAGAATGTGATTGTTTGCTTTCTGACTCATTATTTTCGGTGATCCTCAACTGTTCTGTAATACTCCAGGGGGTTGGACACAGACTGAGAGGAAGTGCAAACGCAGTGAGAGTTAGAGCTCCTCAAATCGGAGGTAAGGGAGGCTGGTTTTCTTCATTAATTTCCGGAAGTCCGTATTCATTGTCATCGTTTTCGTTTTAGACTGATGCGTTTTTTAAGCAACTTTAATGTTGAATATTTATTTAGATATAGCTTCATCCATTCTTACATCATCACAGTGTGAATGATTTTATGTTCCCTATTAAAACCTTCCCTTTTTTCATCACACTGCATAAAAAATATGACCTTCACTGCTTTGTATTTCCAGGTAGTTTTGCTGTCTGGGGAGGCCTCTTCTCCACCATCGACTGTGGTTTAGTTCGTCTGAGAGGGAAGGAGGATCCATGGAACTCCATAACAAGTGGCGCCCTCACGGGGGCCATCCTAGCAGCACGCAGTGAGAAAAAACACCACCATCGTCTGTTAATTAGCGATATAATAGATCTAACTAAGGATTGCTGTGTTTTTCTTGAGGTGGTCCGATAACCATGATGGGCTCCGCGATGATGGGGGGGATCCTGCTCGCTCTCATTGAGGGTTTCGGTATTCTTCTGACTAGATACACAGCACAACAGTTCCAGAACCGTAAGTGAAGCATAGTCACGGTTAAAAGTGTCATTTTATCAAGTTAACAAAACTTCAAAATGACTGATATGAGAATTAAGGTCTCCTGTCTTTGACTTTCTAAAAATTAGATGTAAAAAAAAAAACACCTTTGAGCTGAAAAATATTTAGTTTTTAACCATAAATTGTTAATTAAAAAATGTCCCTAACTAAAAAAAAAAAGGCTGGAATACAAAGACCCCCTTTGTCTCAATATTTAAGACCTCTGGGATAATATTTCTTGGCAATCTAGAAAAGTTTGAAAAATTGCAATTTTTTTAAAGCATTATCCAGGTCTGGAAAACTATTTTAAATATCTTTGATTTAAACATGTGTTTCAAAACCCATTGACTCCTGAATACCTTTTTTTTTTATTGTGTGGTGACATCAACCTTATTCTATGCGGTGGTTTATGGGAGCAGCAGCTTATCTAAAGCTGAGAGGAAGCAGTTTGATAAGCTCCTCAGGAAGGCCGACTCTGTCCCAGGATGCCCCCGGGACGTTAGTGCAGAATTAGAATTAATATTAATTGCCCCTTACAAAGCAAAGCATTTGACCCGGTGAAGCCAGTAAATTTTAATAGAATAAAGGGAGAGAAATGGATGAGTGTCAAAAAAACTAAGGCTGCGTTCAAACAGCAGCCTGAAGTGACCCAAATCTGATTTTTTTTTTCTTTTGCCCACATACAACCTGTATCTGATATTTTCATGGCAGTCTGAACAACACAGATCTGATTTTTCACTGCGACCCGGGTCACTTGGCCATGTGGTCCTGAATCCGATACAAATCTGATTTTTTTAAATGCGACCTGTGTCTGAACGGTCAGGTCGCATTCATCCGACCTGAACGCCATTAATACTCAACAAAAGTCACTATTCTGCATATTGCTACACAGAATCAGCAGGAAAAACAAACAGCCATGGATGACGATGATGTGGAGAGCAGTCTTTATCTTCAACCATCTTGAAAAGATTGTGTTGTTAATGCACTGGCTGAGGTTGGGAAAGATTGCTAGATGCGCTCCAGCAATTCCATCAATGTTTACTTCCGTAAACACAGAGCACGCTCGCTTGTGAGGTCATTGCGTGCTCTACTGCGCATGCGGGATACCTGCGCTGTATAAATTCATTTCACACATGGGATCACATATAGGTTGCATAAATTTGGAAATGTGAACGACCATGCAAAAGAGTTGGATTTCACAAAAAATTGAAATTGAGCAGTAAGGCCTGCAGTGTGGATGCAGCCTAAATCTCCGTGGTGAGATGGTTCGTCAATAACAGAAAATCTTTGCAAATTGTTTTTCATTTATCCCGACGGCGACAGTGGCGACGGATGTAGGGGTTTGCCCTGAAATCGAAGGGTTGTCGGTTAAAGCCCTGGCTCCGGCTTTCAGTGTCGTTGTGTCCTTGGGCAAGAAACTTCACCTGCATGTCCTACTGATGGTTGGACAAAGAGGGCCTGCTGGTGCCAGTGTACGGCAGCCTCGCTTCTGTCAGTGAGCCCCAGGGCAGCTGTGGCTACAATGTAGTTTGCCACCATCAGTGAGTGAGTGTTTGCTTGAATGGGCGAATGACTGAATGTAATGTAAAGTGCTTTGGTCAAGCTCTCTGACTTTAAAAATGCTATATAAGTACAGGTAATGCTGGTCCCCAAGAGGCAGAAATAAGCTGCTCACAGAAAGCCCATGTTTTCACCCACACACACACACCTCTGGTTTCATTATTCCATTGACCTCCATTCATTTGTGGGTGAGTAATACAGCCTAACCGTGACCCTTGCCCTAAACCTAGGTACATACCTAATACTTACCAAAACTCAATTCACACCTTAGTCCTAAACCTAACACCTAAGCCTAAAACGGTAATCTCCCCATAAGGACTGTTGGTCCCCAAATCGTAGCGCTTTAACAGAAAATTGTCTCTTGTAGGAAAAAAAAAAGTACAGACACACACATTACCTCTGTAAAAATTCAGAATTTGAATCTCTCAGTAGAAAATGTTAACATGTTTGTTCTTATTTCATTTTGCTTCCTGCAGCTGTTCCCTTTGCAGACGACCCCAGTCAGCTCCCTCCCAAAGACGGAGACCATCAGCAGCAGGCTTCAAAGGGGCTTTTTCACTAGATAACGTCTGCAGACTGAAGACGCAGGGAATCGGAGCGGGTCGCAATGAGAAGAGAACGCCACTGTTAACAGGAGACTGTGGTCACTACAGTGTTGAAAAGTAGCTGCACTTTGTTATCGTACCTCAGGGGTCAGATATTATTATTTAGAGATTATGAATGAAATCTGAAATTCTTATATTGTCTCATTTTGCATTTTGTTTCATGTTTGTTTTCTTTCATTACTGTGAATTTCTTTTTTTTTTAGGGGGAGCTGGCTTATTTGCATGTGCTTTGTTGGATAGAACAAGTATGAGATATACTTGTATAGCTGCTGTAAATCCTACGGAACCTACCAATAATCTGCTGTCCACTTCTGCTCAGCAGATTATCCTCTGGACCTGTTCATGAAAAACAAAAGGAGTGTGCAGTGAAGCTCCTATCCTAAAGGACATCCACCTCAGATTTCTTGATTCGTTCCTCATAAGTATTATGCAGCAAATTTCAGATCAACTTGGATAAAATAATGTAGCATTATTCTGAAGCAGGACATGGATTCATTAGCAAACATTAGAGGATTCTCATTTGAATTCAAAGCTTATGCTGATCTTCCTGGCATCTTATCAGGTAGCTTGATCGATAATATCCACACAAACACTACGGGTAATTGCTTTTTAACAAATGCCACCCCTCCAGAACATTCTGTTGAACCTTTTATTTCTGCAGCTCGTGTCTCTAAAGGACAGTGCTGAATCATAGCTGAAGCTAGCAGGCTGGGAAAGTACTCCCATCTTTAGAGCCGATCTGTTAACATTTACTTCTTCAGACATGGGGAGCATCAATTTACTGCATTACAATGGAGTATAGGGCAAGGACGCAGATAGCGTGTACGTCAGGGGTGTTCTGACGTACACAGATTAGAATTACCCTCAAACCGTCCCCCCCACTTTTATTGAAAAAAAAAACATACGGCGAAACTCACAGAAAATCAAAAAGCTTTTTCTAATTTACTGCTTTGCAACAACAACATAAAACAGTCAGATCATAGACGGGCAATCGTTTTGTTTAACTGCAGGCTGCCTGCGTCGTAGAGATTCTAATCTAAAAGTTATCCTGTCTCTGGCATTTACGTCTCGAGCCTGGTTTCCATGGTTATTCAGACAGACAGTAGTGGTGGGATAGTTCCCAATTCCGGAGTCCGGACATCAACGTGAGGCCAGCCAAACCGAAAAAACAGAAAACAATTGCATCCTTTTTTCGAGAAGCACCAACTGTAAGTAAACTGTTCATCATATCTTGCATTTTTTTGGTTGTCTGTTCGATGTCGCCGTGGAAAAAAGAGTAGAGACGGTCAGTGAGAATAGCGTGAAGAGAGGTGCCAATGTCATAAGGCGGGAGGCAGGGGGAATCAACTGGCATTTATTTATTTATAATTAAATCGACTGTTCCGACTTTTTCTAGAGTTGTTGGGGGTCTTTCAGAAATGTGTAGGCTACAGTAGGCTACTTGAATCCGTATTTATGCCAAGCCAAATGGTTTAGGTTGTTACAGGTTGAATCATGAGAAAAACGAACTTCAAAACTAGACAAATTCCACTACACAGGGGCGGATTTAGGAAATTTGGGGCCCTAGGCAAAGACAGGCATGGGGCCCTCTGAATTGAGAAGACAACATATAGAACAGACCCATTATACAGATACAGAAATTTTAATAGAATAGAAATTTGAGGATGTCATGTACAGGTGCTGGTCATAAAATTAGAATATCATGAAAAAGTAGATTGATTTCAGTAATTCCATTTAAAAAGTGAAACTTGTATATTATATTCATACATTACATACAAACTCATATATTTCAGATGTTTATTTTGTTTAATTTTGATGATTACAAATGACAACAAATGAAAATCTCAAATTCATCATATCAGAAAATTAGAATATTGTGAAAAGGTTCAAAATTGATGGCCCCTGGTGCCACACTCTAATCAGCTAATTAACTCAAACCACCTGCAAAAGCCTTTAAATGGTCTTTCAGTCTAGTTCTATAGGCTACACAATCATGGGGAAGACTGCTGACTTGACAGTTGTCCAAAAGACGACCATCGACACCTTGCACAAGGAGGGCAAGACACAAAAGGTCATCGCTAAAGAGGCTGGCTGTTCACAGAGCTCAGTGTCCAAGCACATTAATAGAGAGGCGAAGGGAAGGAAAAGATATGGTCGAAAAAAGTGTACAAGCAAGAGAGATAACCGCACCCTGGAGAGGAATGTGAAACAAAACCCCTTCAAAAATGTGGGGGAGATTCACAAAGAGTGGACTGCAGCTGGAGTGAGTGCTTCAAGAACCACCACACACAGACGTATGAAAGACATGGGTTTCTGCTGTCGCATTCCTTGTGTCAAGCCACTCTTGAACCACAGACAGCGTCAGAAGCGTCTTGCTTGGGCTAAAGAGAAACAGGACTGGACTGCTGGTGAGTGGTCCAAAGTCATGTTCTCTGATGAAAGTAAATTTTGCATTTCCTTTGGAAATCAAGGTCCCAGAGTCTGGAGGAAAAGAAGAGAGGCACTTCATCCACGTTGCTTGAAGTCCAGTGTAAAGTTTCCACAGTCAGTGATGGTTTGGGGTGCCATGTCATCTGCTGGTGTTGGTCCATTGTGTTTTCTGAGGTCCAGGGTCAACACAGCCACATACCAGGAAGTTTTAGAGCACTTCATGCTTCCTGCAGCTGACCAACTTTTTGGAGATGCAGATTTCATTTTCCAACAGGACTTGGCACCTGCACACAGTGCCAAAGCTACCAGTACCTGGTTGAAGGACCATGGTATCCCTGTTCTTAATTGGCCAGCAAACTCTCCTGACCTTAACCCCATAGAAAATCTATGGGGTATTGTGAAGAAGAAGATGCAATACACCAGACCCAACAATTCAGAAGAGCTAAAAGCCACTATTAGAGCAACCTGGGCTATCATAACACCTGAGCAGTGCCACAGACTGATCGACTCCATGCCACGCCGCATTGCTGCAGTAATACAGGCCAAAGGAGGCCCAACTAAATACTGAGTGCTGTACATGCTCATACTTTTCATGTTCATACTTTTCAGTTGGCCAACATTTCTATAAATCCTTTGTTTTTATTGGTCTTCAGTAATATTCTAATTTTCTGATATGATGAATTTGAGATTTTCATTTGTTGTCATTTGTAATCATCAAAATTAAACAAAATAAACATCTGAAATATATGAGTTTGTATGTAATGTATGAATATAATATACAAGTTTCACTTTTTAAATGGAATTACTGAAATCAATCAACTTTTTCATGATATTCTAATTTTATGACCAGCACCTGTATCTTCAAGTTTGTCTATGTCACTGTAACTCGGAGGAAAGAATCTCTCTCATATATATATATATATATACAGGTGCTGGTCATAAAATTAGAATATCATGAAAAAGTAGATTGATTTCAGTAATTCCATTTAAAAAGTGAAACTTGTATATTATATTCATACATTACATACAAACTCATATATTTCAGATGTTTATTTTGTTTAATTTTGATGATTACAAATGACAACAAATGAAAATCTCAAATTCATCATATCAGAAAATTAGAATATTACTGAAGACCAATAAAAACAAAGGATTTATAGAAATGTTGGCCAACTGAAAAGTATGAACATGAAAAGTATGAGCATGTACAGCACTCAGTATTTAGTTGGGCCTCCTTTGGCCTGTATTACTGCAGCAATGCGGTGTGGCATGGAGTCGATCAGTCTGTGGCACTGCTCAGGTGTTATGATAGCCCAGGTTGCTCTAATAGTGGCTTTTAGCTCTTCTGAATTGTTGGGTCTGGTGTATTGCATCTTCTTCTTCACAATACCCCATAGATTTTCTATGGGGTTAAGGTCAGGAGAGTTTGCTGGCCAATTAAGAACAGGGATACCATGGTCCTTCAACCAGGTACTGGTAGCTTTGGCACTGTGTGCAGGTGCCAAGTCCTGTTGGAAAATGAAATCTGCATCTCCAAAAAGTTGGTCAGCTGCAGGAAGCATGAAGTGCTCTAAAACTTCCTGGTATGTGGCTGCGTTGACCCTGGACCTCAGAAAACACAATGGACCAACACCAGCAGATGACATGGCACCCCAAACCATCACTGACTGTGGAAACTTTACACTGGACTTCAAGCAACGTGGATGAAGTGCCTCTCTTCTTTTCCTCCAGACTCTGGGACCTTGATTTCCAAAGGAAATGCAAAATTTACTTTCATCAGAGAACATGACTTTGGACCACTCACCAGCAGTCCAGTCCTGTTTCTCTTTAGACGCTTCTGACGCTGTCTGTGGTTCAAGAGTGGCTTGACACAAGGAATGCGACAGCAGAAACCCATGTCTTTCATACGTCTGTGTGTGGTGGTTCTTGAAGCACTCACTCCAGCTGCAGTCCACTCTTTGTGAATCTCCCCCACATTTTTGAATGGGTTTTGTTTCACAATCCTCTCCAGGGTGCGGTTATCTCTCTTGCTTGTACACTTTTTTCGACCACATCTTTTCCTTCCCTTCGCCTCTCTATTAATGTGCTTGGACACTGAGCTCTGTGAACAGCCAGCCTCTTTAGCGATGACCTTTTGTGTCTTGCCCTCCTTGTGCAAGGTGTCGATGGTCGTCTTTTGGACAACTGTCAAGTCAGCAGTCTTCCCCATGATTGTGTAGCCTATAGAACTAGACTGAAAGACCATTTAAAGGCTTTTGCAGGTGGTTTGAGTTAATTAGCTGATTAGAGTGTGGCACCAGGGGCCATCAATTTTGAACCTTTTCACAATATTCTAATTTTCTGATATGATGAATTTGAGATTTTCATTTGTTGTCATTTGTAATCATCAAAATTAAACAAAATAAACATCTGAAAGATATGAGTTTGTATGTAATGTATGAATATAATATACAAGTTTCACTTTTTAAATGGAATTACTGAAATCAATCTACTTTTTCATGATATTCTAATTTTATGACCAGCACCTGTATGTATATATATATATATATATATATATATATATATATATATATATATATATAT